GGTAAAAGGGTGTGTTGTAGCAGCCAGTCTGCTGAGGGGAGGGGTTCGAGGAGGAGAAGGAGGAGGAGGAGGAGACAAGAAGATGAAAGGAGGAGGAGGAGGTGCAGGAAGAGGAGGTGCAGGAAGAGGAGGAGGACCTGCCGTTTGTGAGTTGCGTTGATGAAAAAAAAAAAGATGACGAAGGAGGAGAGAGAGAGAGAGAGAGGCGCAGGAGGACCTGCCGTTTGTGAGTTGCGTTGACGAAAAAAAAAAAAGATGACGAAGGAGGAAGAGAGAGAGAGAGAGAGAGAGAGAGAGAGAGAGAGAGAGAGAGAGAGAGAGAGAGAAAGCTGTATTTGCATTGTATCAATTTTGACTCTTCAGGCTTGATTCTTGAGTCTCGAGTTTCTTGACTTGCCTGCCGACAAGGAACCCGGCTGAGAAGGGTGGGTTACCTGGTGGTCACTATACAATTGTTGAGTTATAGAGACAAGTTAGAGAGTGAAACACTGAAAATCATTGTCCTTCGTGCCATCCGTTAAAATTGGAACGATACAGAGAAGATTAGCATGGCCCCTGCGCAAGGATGACACGCATAAATCAAGAAATGGCCCAAATAACTGGGTTAGGCCGACGTTGGGACGAGCCAAACCAGACAGGCAGTGCGTCAGAGCTGTATTTTGGCTCGTCCGGGGACGACGGGTTTAAAAGGGTACATTTGGACTCATGTTTTCTCATTTATTTTTATCTTGAAATTAACAAGGAATTTCGAGGTGGCCCTCAGCCAAAAGTCGTTTGTATTACAATTTACACGACATATTTTTTTCGGATTTTTTTATTTTTTTATTTTTTTATTTTTTAAAATATTATGCGCTAGGATCGCCCGGGACCCTGCCCGGGCCCTGCCCGGCCCGGGCCGCCTGGGAGGGTACCCGGGCGACCTTCCCCCAGCCGGGCCGCCCAGGGACTAACGCAAAAAAAAAGGTATTTTTGCTAGGCTATCAGAGTGGCCCGGACCACTTGCCCGCCCGGGCCAAAACGATTTGGGCGTTGAGGAAACTCGATGCGGCTAGTGGGACATGGCCCCTGAAGTCACCAGCAGCCAACCCCTCTCCCAAGCCTCTGGGCTTCCACCGCACGCTCCCACCACTAAACGAATAGAGAGCCGAAAAAAAAAAAAAAGAAAAAAAAAAAAAAAAAAGCACCTTCAAGCCTTGCATGGCAGCAGGCTGGACAGTGGGCAACAAGTGGGTTCTTTAGGCGTGTTTTGGTCAGACTCTGAG